CCCACAGCCAGGAGACACTCAAGAGCTCCGCCCACAGCCAGAAGACACTCAAGAGCTCCGCCCGCAGCCAGGAGACACTCAAGAGCTCCGCCCGCAGCCAGGAGACACTCAAGAGCTCCGCCCACAGCTACAGCTACAAGATGCACAGCTTGTTTCCCTTCCCTTTACAGCAGGAAGGCTGGGTCCATAAGCATACAAAATGCCCCTCCAAAGACGGGCTCTAAGTGGGATCACTGCAACTGATCGCAACCTAGCTCCACTGCATTGGGTGTGACTGGTTAATGGAAGGAAATTTTGAATTCAACAATAAAATACCATTAATAATTGAAAGTTTGGCTCTGACCAAATTCGCTTATATTCAATCTACTGCTTCATGTTATTATTCATGGATTTCTTAAACCACAAGTACCATTAATAATAAATCTCAGAATTAAAAAAAACTATTTATTGAATGGGATCCCACATCAACCTCTCCACTATGTCATTTCCAACCTGTTGCATCAGGTCCAGGACATGAAACAGGTGTAAACGCCAGGGTTAATTAACACTGAGGAACGGCAGGAAATATTCAGGGCTCTCTCTGTCCATCTGCCTAATGCCACTTAGCAGAACCAACATCACTGGTACCAAAGACAATATTTTTATAGAGGAAAAGACGTTTACCGATGGAGTTTGGCAATGGATTACTGATCTAATTGTGCTGGCAACTGAGAAGGGGGCCAGAGGAGCACATTTCCTAAAAACTAATCCCAACAGAGATTCCCCCCACTCCCATTACAGCCACAGGTGACAGACAGATAGTGAGGCTCTGGAACTGGTCTGTTGTAAATGAGAAACCAAGAAATCTGCAAATAAAGGATCCAACTTCAGAACCAAATTCAAAACTATGCTCACTAGATGGACTTTGGTACACAGGACCGAGATCTTCATTCCAGCAGCAATGTCTCAAACAATGCAACTTGGAATTAAAATCAATAGCCTAATTATGCGAGACCCATTACTATAGTGACGACAGGACATAAAATGCCAGTGACACTTTCTATATATGTATTTTATTTTAACTGTGGCTCTCAGAGGTGACCATCTTTTCATTGCACCAGTGTCTCCCACGGGTTAACGATCGGCCTGTTAGTGTCACCTCTTATCGCGAAATTGCTTCTCACCGTTTTGCTCATCCAGTTCATTCCCGATTTCCTGGCCCATTTGTTTCTGCCTGCTGATGACGGCGGCGAGGGCATCCAGGCCAGCATCTTGCACTGTGAGAGAGAAAGAAAAACAGCAGGGTTTCTTCAATACCGCACCACCGCCCTTCCACTGGGCTACAGAGAAAATAAATCCCTCCTTGGACGGTGCCGGTACTTTTCTCCACACTCCCAAGTGACCTGAGGATGCAGAACTACTGCGCCGTCCAAAATGTCACGAAGGACTGGATGGAACTGTGGCACTCCTGACCTCTTGTCTTTTGGGCTGCGATTACTATCATTATCCCAGCATGTATGAAAGAAAAAAAAACACGACCAGGCCAGCAAAATGTATATACTTGACAAAACGTACAAATACGCAGAAAGGCAAACCCCTGAATTTAATGACAAACTTGATGACAAACTTTTAGGTGGAGCAAATTATGAGGGAAAAGAGCTGAATCATAAGTAAGCCACATGACAAATAAAACTGGATCAGTTACTAAGTGAGCAGACAGCAGCATGAAGTATCACATCCAGCACAAATAATGACTGCAGATATAAGTGAAAAGTGCTGGATATGACAATTACGGAGAGACAGTATAATGAGAAAGAAAGAGAAATAATCCCTTTTGTTACATATCCATTTGCTCAACAGTGATAGAGAGGCTGTCAGAATCCCAATATTGATATTTCCCAGCAAGGAATTGTCTTTGTGGCAGGAACTCCACAAGTTGTTGGAAAAGAAAAGTTGAGAACTATCACCTATATGAGAACAAGCTGCCTCCAGAAGACCGAGCTGACAGTTTTTTGGAACGAAAACAATAGTGAGAGAGCTAAGAGGGGAAGGCCAGGTTTCCATCATATAAACACGCTGCACAAAGCACTCATGTGATGCCACACCGTGGAAGAGCTCGGTCACGCCAAGCCGAATAAGCCTGCAACATATCTCAGATACCAGACTCGAAACGGCCAAGAAAAAAAAAGGCAGAAGTGAAACAACATTTGCAGGATGTGAAAGCGTGCATGCCCCCTGCTAACTCAGAAGACTGTGGCGTGCCCAGGGGGCTGGATTGGTTTCATTACCGCATGAGAAACTTCTTGCCAAACGGTAGATTTCATCCGACTTCTGTTGTGCAACGCTGTAGGTTGCCGGGAAAAAAAGGGGGTACTACCACCCCGAGCGGATTCAATTCGCCAGCTGTGGTGAACCTGCTAAAACTCACTAGAAACCACTCTCTGCAAGGGATACCTTCTCTTTTTGCGTCGCTGAAGACACGGAATCACACGGATCTTGAAGGCTCTGGAACCATCAGCCTCATGATTTGGCATTCTGTAAAGTTTTCTGCTCCTCCCCCAGTATCCGGAGGACTATGTAGCTGGATAACATTGCCGAAAAGCACAGAACTCAGAAGAAAAATTGCTGGAATATGTACGAATATAATTATTACGCTTCTGCCAAAGACCATGACAAAATCTTCAATAAAAATGGAGAGAATTCACTCTAATGGGCAATTTGGAAGAAACAATTTCCTGTAATAAGATTTCATTAGCCAAAAACGCTCATAATATGACAAGGTCTTTGGTTCCAGCTTTGACACCAGAGATCTTGAACGTACTAACGATGAGTAATACTAAACAGAGCCCACAATATTGCACTTTTTGATTGTACAGGAGTACTAAATTGAGCACCGCTATATTGTAATAGCAGCAATTTTCATTGAAAGAGCTGCTTGGAAGGGATTACGAGCCAGAACAGGCACATTTTTGTGGCAGAAGAAGTGCCCCCGACTTTTCAAAGTAAAAAGACTCATTGTGAATCACAGCTCTTCAGCTCAGCGGGGAGAATGTGCTAACGTTTCCTGGAAGAATCTGACCATATATAATAACTCTTTCATGGCATCTGCACAAGTGTCGTGCTTGTAAATATTGAGGCTTCCCTTAGTGCTTTTCTCTTCTTTTCCTCTCAAGGCTAAATGAGAATCAGATTTAGCACCTCGTGTTTCATAAGCACCAGAATCATTTTTTAGTGTATGCTTTAGTTATGCGTTAGTCATTGAGAAGCAATGGCATTGTTTTTTCCAAGTTGTCTCATTTGGGAATCAAGATTTAGTGATGGCTGGTTGCTGTAGTCTAAACCTTCTTACAATCATATCATTTGAACAGAATTATGCATTGCAAGAGAAAACACAACATTAGGCATGGAATAAAAAAAGCTATGCTGTACTCCAAATTATTGTAGATAACTCCCTGGCTACTCCATTCATAGTTCTTCTGTGACACACTACAGATTTTTTAGAGGAAGACAGTTAGGCGGCTTGCAATAAGTCCAAGCAGACTGACTTGTAGAGTCCACAGGAAAGCAGTATGAAAACCACTGCTGTAGGTCACCAGAGAGAGACACCTCACTGTCAGGACATTTGTATTCACTTAAACTTTTACGACAAAGCTAACACGTCAGATGCTCCGCTCCAAGGAGTAAGAATGATACAAACTCCACCCAGAACATGCCCCAGGGCAGACTCCGAGCCAGGATCCACACGCTGTGAGGCTGAGAGCGCCAAACGCAGTGCCGCTGCCACCCACATGTCCGTACACACACCATCGAAAGAGAAAACAACAAAATCTGGGGCAGAGTAAGGGTCTACAGCAGTGGTTCCCACTTCCCAGTCGGCCTGGGGACCCACGCACCAGCTGAGCCCTCAGTTTCACAATCAAAGCCTTCACTGGCTTAATAATAAAGAAGATTCATCAAAACTGGCTGTTCCCAGCTCTAAAACATGCTGGAGCTTTAACAGCAACGTCTTAGATCAAGTAAGGCTCCAGGGATCTCATGAAGGCGGGCAGGAATGAAAACCAGCAGGTGTGTTGGTCACCAGGACCAGGACTGAGGAGCCACCGGAGCACATGGACGACGAAGCTGAAAGCAGGCTCGGATCAGATGGTCCCCCGGCGTCTCCCAGCACCTCCTCACCTTCAATGATCTTCTGCTGCTGCTGCTTTATCTCCCCAAAGCCCAGACCCCGGGTCTCCTCGGGCTCATTGATCAACCAGGGGTTCCCCAGTCCCGCCGGGTCCATTCCTCCAGTCAGGAGACTGGACCTGTCACAACAACACAGGGCAGAGCCAACTTACTTTACATCTATCAGCTGAGGTCACTTGGCTTCTTTTATTTTTTGGCCATTAAGAAATAAATCTGGCAAGGTCTTCGAAGTCAAGAATTTATGAAACAAAATGAACACACAAGACACAAAATTAGCATTTCTGGACTACTACATACAGTTTTAGCGTGTTCCAAATCCCAGATCAGTGTATCTCACCTCCCACAGCCAGTTCCCAACATTGCCCCATGATAATACGGGTAGACAGAAATCTTGATATGGAAATGTTTGCAGAAGTTAAGAAATTCTCCACCAGGTAGGGACACACTTTAAACTGATGCTGAGACAACCTTTGGTACCAATCCAAAAATACATCCAAGCACAAATACAAATGACAAACTTTGGCTGGCAGGTTTAAAAGAAAAAACAAATATTTTCTCAACCATGAAAATATGCCTCATTTACCCTAAATTTAAGCTACGTTCCTTCAGTAACCCAATAGGTTTCAGCTCATCAGCAAAGATTCCAGGTGGTCAAGACTGCTTGCTCACTCTTGCCTTTTTGCTTCTTTGTGGTCTGTCTTAAATACAGCATTCGTCACATGGGATTCTGGCTGGCAAAATACAAAAAACTTCCTTCATTCTACGATTATCAATAAACTGAGGTCTGCCCATCTGATAACTGAAGCAACACAACATCTAAAATCTGTGACCTCGGCTGAATTCATAGAATCACTAGTGGTGCATGAAGTGGCTTCACTCCTACAGTATATGTAATGCATTTTGGGATCTTTTGGGATAAAAAAAACACTTTATAAATGTAAGGAATATTATAGAGTGACATTCTGCTTCATGCATTGCATTACCATTACAAGACCAATGTTGATGGGGGATTTTTTCAATGCTGGTGACACTTTATAATAATAATAATTAATAATTGCTTACACATATAGCGCGTTTCTGGACACTCCATTCAAAGCGCTTTACAGGTAATGGGGATCCCCTCTACCACCAATGTGCAGCATCCACCTGGATGATGCAATGGCAGGCATATTGCGCCAGAACGCTCACCACACATCAGCTATTAGTGGGGAGGAGAACAGAGTGATGAAGCCAATTTATACATGAGGATTATTAGGAGGCCATGACTGGTAAAGGCCAGGGGTAAACCTGGCCAGAACACCAGGGTACACCTTACTTTGTTCAAGAAATGCCCTGGGATTTTTAATGACCATAATCAGGACCTTTTTACAGTATGGTGTCCCAGTCACTATACTGGAGCATTAGGACCTACATAGACCACAGGGTGAGCACCCCCTGATGGTCCCACTAACACCTCTTCCAGCAGCACGTTTTTCCCAGGAGGTCTCCATCCAGGTACTGACCAGGTTCAAACCTGCTGAGCTTCAGTGGGCTGCCAGTGGTGAACTGAAGGGTGATATGGCTGCTGAAGTCTGGTGAAAAATTCACGTTCTGCAATCTCAAAAGTTACCACTTTTATCCAAACAACTTTCTCTCTAATCTCTAATCATTCAATTTTATTTTTTTCAGATGTAGTATTAATTATAATTTAGTCTTTTTAAGAGAAAATTTTCCTTTCGAAGGAAACATTTCCGAACTTCTGCATTTTTGCCTGAATTAAAAAAAAATCTAAAGGATTTTGTAAACAGTGCTGTTAAATTAGCATCAGGCCTCGTGGTTTCGGAAGAACTTAACACTGACAGAAATGCAGACTAAAGAAAGGCCTGTTGTGTTATATTAAGAATGTAATGTGGTTTTCTGCTATTCTTATGCTAATCAAGAAAAGCTGCATCCAAACCTTAAAGCTGTCTTGCCGAAGGACCTAAGTATCTATCTGAAATCATTCAGGAAGAACTAAGACTGTATGTGTGCTCCACCTACTGGTCAAAGAGAAACAGGAATATTTTTCCAAGTATTGTAGGCACAAGGGGGTTAGTATATTGTACTGACTTTTCAAAGGGCTTTTATTGTTCACTTAATTGTTAAGGATGGACAGTGATCATGAAAACCCTTGTCTTTCAACAAGGGGCTGTTTTCAGGGCCAGTGCATTTCCTTCTTTACTCTCAGAAACAAGAACTGATGTTCCATCAGCCCAGGGAAGGCAACAAAGCAGTGCTTAGGCTGCCCCGTATCAGAGAGGCTAAACTATGCCATCATCCACAGTACCAACATTAGCATTAAGAGTCATTTTAAGGATCTGTTTTTGATCAAACTTTTAACCCAAGGCATTTCTTCTTCCTCAAAAAAGCACTTTCTTATTGGCACGGGTGGGCCCAGGGCACATTCTTTCATGTAAAAAGTATTCTTCATCCCCCAATCCTCCAACATCAACCACATTAAAAATAAAAAATGCATGCATTCCAGCAATTACATCTCAAGTCTGAGAGGCATAACAAGCACAGAGGCAGAAGCTACAGCTAGATTCCGTGTATTCTACTGTGTGATCTTAAGTTTACTGTGGATTTACTGTGGATAGGGCCACAGTACATTTAAGATTAAGACCCATGTAACTCATCACACTGGGCTGTTCAGCTGATCGATAGCAATCGACAGAAAAAGGCAACAAACTGAAGAATAAGCATATGCACATCTACTGCTCATGACAGATGAAGAAAGACCATCCATGCACAAAGTCACACCATTATATTGGATATATAAGCCTTGGTCAGTATTTCCTCAACATTACATTAACATTCCATGCACATGTTCTAAGCAGGTGTAACAAACACCAACAAATATCACGACAATCACAACTTAAATTAGTACAAAGTTGTGAACACTTGACTATCACCCATGTACCGTCAACACAGTGTTGAAATTTCGACTCATTTTGCTGCTGTTCTTCAGGAATTCTGATGCTTCTGTTACTAGTTCTGCTTCTATTGTTCTACAACATAATCTGCTCAAAACGTAAAATTTTCCATAGTTAAATATGAAAAATATTTATTTGGGGGGAATTGAAATGATTATTAGTTGTTTGTTTTGGAATTCTTGAATTCTTTACGGTTATTGTATTTTGAATTCAGGAAACTTTGCTTTCTAAAAACAATTTGCCATAAATGTTCTACTTTACATATTATACCTTAATCAGCCCATTAAACAACCTAAACCTGCAATCAAAACTGATAACCATTGATTCTCATTTGCTGTAGAGGGTGTGGGAAAGGTGCTTTAGGCATTTAAGTTTCCCAGGAAGATCTGAAATGCAAAACAATAACACACTTCAAACATTACTCCGACTCATTAAAAAGATGTTCCACAATCATATGCCGATTAAGAGCTGATTTGACAGACTGATTCAAATTAAAGGCTTCCTCATTTTGTTTTAAGCAACACTATTGTAGAGTCGTACTAATCGGGGTCTGTAACCTCTAATGAATTCACTTTTTTTCCTCTTGCAGACTAAGCAATAGTCCAGGCAATTTGAGGCAATTTGCAGCACTGTCTCTCTCCAGCAACAGGCCTCTATTAATCAACAGAAAGACATGGTGAGAGGCCTCCAGCCAGCGCTAATCTTTCTGACATATTTGGTAACTATCTTACCGCGGGACAGCTCCTTACTTCCTCCTTCCTCTGATCTTGCCATGTTAGTGGTGTGAAGATTAAACTTTATCCAATTAGCCACCCACTGAGTCCGCCAAGTTAATCAGGCGCATCTGCGCACCGTCACACAACGGTGACGCGAACAGATAGTTTCTGATTTAAAGGGGCAGATGTAACTAATTACTAGTTTTTGCATTATGATCAAATATAAAAGAGAAAGCTGGGGGTGGTGGGGGCTGGGCAGCGCTGGTTACAGGCCTTGAAATTTAGGCGCCATGTCTCTCTTTGCTTAGTTAAAGGCTAATCTCCCAAGAATGTAGTGTTTCACTGGTGGATCTTTCATAACCTTCCCTTGAAAACAGTGGGTGGGGGGGGACACTTTAGATTATTCAAGCAGGCCTAACACCCCTAGACAAAGACCACACACTGAGGAGTATAATTTCACCCCATTTAAAATAATGTTCTACCAGACAGAATTAAAATCGTTAAGCCACATGCACAGTGCCACCTAATTAATAAATTAGCATTAACTTCAGCCGGAAAAGGCTGAATATGTTTTGGATCTGCTTAGGTTAAGAATTTACGTTGCCTTTAGCACTGTAAGAGAAATTAAAAATACTAAGAAAAATGTAAGGTATCCAATATTAGTTTGAAGTGGTTTGTTTTAATACACACGGCCACCTGCTGTTCAACAGTCTTTGTCATCAAAATGTTTTTGTACCACTTATAGGTCATTCAATAGCATCTGACCAGTTGCTTCCACATACAAGTTCACAGGGTCATCAAAGGATGTTTTTGAAAGGTCTTGCAGTGCAGACCAAAAAAAACTTACTGCCCTAGTTAAGTCATTCAAGGAGCCTGATCCTGTGAAATTCAGAGGTTAGGCTTTCATTCAAACAAACACGAGAGGAAGTCCAAATCACTGTTATCCAACCCCACTTCCCTTTGTTTCTAAAGCCATGTGACCCAGGTCAGCACGTCAGACAAAATATAATATAATGATGGCCTGGTTCTAGCTACTGTACAAAGCTGTCACTTAGACGAAGAATAATGTGCACTCAGGATACAGCTGACAGCATAGAGCTCTTTACTATATTTTATCCACTTCATAAAGGATGTGCGCTCAGTGAACAGTGTAAACTATAAACTAAGTTTTTTTCATTAAATAGCCCCAAGGTTCTTGTCCAGGATGTGCCAAGCATGTGATCACTGGAGCAGGATTTTTAATGAATGAAATTTCTCTTAACACTGCTTCATATCAGGAGAAAAGGTCAGGCCATATCAGACTGGATGAGTTTGTCTTTTTCTCCAAGTACTCAGTTTCATAGTGTTTTTTTTTTTACCATATTACTGAAGACAACTGATACTGTTCCTCTGCCTTCGACCACAAATACCAGTAAACCAGAATATCACCTTTCCAGCTCTTAAAGCATTTACGCATACACTGTGAATACAATATTAGATTTTCATAACTCTTTCCGCAAGGAAAATACAGCAAAGTACAATTCAGTACAAATTGTGAAAAAAACAAAGGGTTTTTCACAAAAAGAGTGGCCTTAGTGTGTTTTATGACCTTGTGGTTGTATGTCCCTAATAAGACATTAATTTTTCAAATTACACCTTAGATGTAGTGATTTAAAGCTAGCTGGTAACACAATTTAAAGTTTGTGTTCTTTGCATTAATTATTTCACAACTTTTTATGTTTTTTTGTTTAACTTCAGCATCACAAACATAAGAATTTGCAACTGCAATTACAATTCACCTTCTTGACTGTTTACGTTCATGTTTTCTTGCATTTTACTAACAATGGTAAAAAAAAACAATCATGTTTGAAGTCAGTCACACAACGTCACTTTTCCGTGACACGGTGAAGTCACAATCTTAAATTTTTCAAAGTACCTTGAGGAGTCGGGCTCTGTGCCATCCTTATTAAAAGAGGCGTCTAGCTGTTCTTCCCGAGTAAGAAGATCATCCAAGAGGTTCTGTCTTCTGTCTCCTTCTGACTGCATTCTGGAGGTTCACATTATTAAGGTCTGACTTAATGATTCAACGAGGCTTAAGAGACACAATGAACAGAAGCAGAGCCCTCCTTGTTGATGTACCATGCAAGGTGCATTATAAAATAAAATACATTCAACATTAGTGATGAGTGAGGTTTTGATGCCGGCTAACAAGCTATCAATTTATCTCAACTACATCTCTCTGAAAATCAATTACAGATGTGTGCACCTGTCTTGGCCAATGCTGATCCTCAACCCCTTAATAATTCATTCTCAATTGTGACTCGATACGACCCCCATGCTTGGGTCTCTGCTGCCCCACCTGTGCAGGACACACCTCTCTCCACCCACGGAGAGGAATAGGTGATGCACACAGAACCGACTGGTCTGAACCTGAAAAGGGGGTCTCCAGCACAGAGACAGAAAATCAAACCTTTCCCCCCATTCCTTGAAAAACACTGACCTCTTCTGGGCTGGAGGGGGAAAAACACAAACGAGGGAGCAGAACACAGAACCCTCCAGGGGGCGAGGGAAGGGAAAGGATACATGCGACGGGTGGAGGTGGACGTGAGCAGCCTCTCTCGCAGATGGGCGATCTGTTGCTTTAGCCTCTGCAGAGACGCTCTGATAGTCATGTTGAGCTGGAGAAACAAGAGGAGCCCACATTCCTGTCACTCCCGCGTCCAGAACACAAAACACATTTTAAATCTTTAGAGAAGAACAAGGAATAATTCAATTACTGATAAGAACATGCTTAAAATCATTTTCCTTCCCAATCACTTCCTAAGATTGGCCTGTTATCGGGGATTACTTTAACACTAGTGTTGTCTAAAGCAGGTAGTCTAGTGATGATTAATTATGATATCATATATCATGTACAAGGTATAATGTAAAGGAACCCACATCATCCATCCTTGAATACAGCCCTCATTCTGCACCAGCAGCCCCACTGTACAGCAGATCAGGCAGAGAAGTATAAGGGGTGAGTGAGAGGGAACTTCAGGGGGGGCAGACTGTGCAAGCCCAGAGGGGAATTACTGCAGCCAGAACCCTGGGGCTACTGCACCTCACCTCTCAAAAAGTGCCACGGAATCATTAATGACCGAGCGATCAAGACCTCGGCCCGACGTCTCACACAGAGGACGGAATTCCTACAGGACCCTGTCCCCAGCCGCTACACCGGGACACCGGTCTTCCGGTCCCAGATGGACCGCTGACAAATATCCAAACAGAGACAACTGGAAGTTCTGATCCAGAGGGGAAAAGCGTGACCAACTAGTCCACTGACGTCACCTGTAGCAGCAGTCTGGCTTTCCTCTGTGGTCTCCCATCCCAGTACCGAATTGGTCCAGCTCTGCCGAGCTGCCAAGATCTTACAAGATCAGACGCCAGGCTGACAGTACTGCCGCCACCTACTGTTCATTGCATTTGTGAAGAAAACGAAACGCGAGCACAATCACGACACATGCAGGCACGTGGAAAAAAAACTGGGGTGAGCACAAGGGAGAACGCCTTGCCTTGGCAGGGTTTCCCCCGGTCCGGTGCTGCCGGTTCCGCTCGTGAATGTTTTCAGCAATCTCCTGGGCCAGCCGGCAAGTGGCATCATAAACCTGTAGCCTTGAAAAGAAAGAATCTGCACGTGGATGTGTTGGAACGACAACTGGATCCGTGTTGGAAATGAACCCACAAGTGCTTGGGTTACTTTGTTTCTCGTCTGGCCTGCAGCTGCACCTTATATGCAGGTTGTTTAACAGTAGTTTAAAGAGAGGAAAGCCCACCGGCCCAGTCTAGATTTACTGCAGAACAGCCTGCCCACTGTGCTGCTGTGCAATGGAAATTCAGAAAGTGAGTTATTTAACCATAACCAGTGATCAGAAATGGGGCCTGGCCTTTGTTTCTCGCTTGCTTATACATTAGGGGAAAAAAACTACCTAATGTTAGCAACAAAAACAAATTGCCAAGATTTTCAAGCAAGCTATTAAAATTGCTAGTATTAATTTTAGAATAACAATTCATAATACTGTATTTCTTTGTCCACGTTACAGTTTAGGAAAGCCGTTGTATCACGAATTCGTACTAATATGAATTCTAATTCATGACTTGACCACTGCCATGTGAATATTAATAAAGACCCATAGAAAATGCACTATTCTCACGTCACAGAAATACGACAGAGGCAAGCTATAGCTAAATCTTTTTAAAGACAGAGACAGCTGCACACGGTTTATTAATGATGCTCAAGATCTGTTCCGAACTCCTCTTAACATCACCCACAGTACGGCTAAATGCTATGACACAAACACTACAAACATCCTTAAATAAACACGACACAGAGAACAATATCAGCAAGTTACTTCTGGGATGTTATATGTAGAACTGGTCGGAACGGTACTGAAATAAAGAACAGTGTTTTATTAAAACAGCTGGGAAAGCTTAAAGGCACTTGAGGGGAATATTCTGAGTCTATAAATTAATTGGGAAGCTACTAAAATTAACCCGTTCCGTGCCAGAGCAGCGTTTTTAAAACTTCCGCAACGCTTGAATCGGGAATTACAAAGACCACCAAATTAAATTAAATGATGCAGCAACGTGCAAAATCGTCACCAAACCAGTCTTCAATGTGCAATATAACGAACAACAACAACTGTGATAAACATTCGTCCTATAATCCTATTTGTAGCCCGTAGTGCCAAAAAATCACGATGAAATAGAATGTAACATATATATTTATTTTGTAACAAGCTTACCAAGGATCCTGTGACATCGTTTGATCAAAAGACTCTCCAAGAATTACTTAATTCAGTAAATTTGACTTAACTATTTTGCGAAAGGCTAACAATCCCACTTCCTGTTTAGGTATTTGTGTCATGTGATTATATACAGCTCCCGACGAGGGACATACTGTCTAAACTCGTGAACCTGCCCTTTAGCGTGCAGGGAGAAAGAGATTAAACATTTTCTCCCCTTTCTCACATCAAACTTCGGGTTTGATGACGCGTAATCAAACGTTATTGTATCGTTGCATCAACATATCTTGAGAGAACTCTTAAGTTCACACAGATACCGGCCTCTTTCTCTTACAATCTTGGTGTTGCTGGTTTTGAGGAAAATATCCCAAAGTCTTGAAGAGTCCAACTGTGATTGGACAAACTAAGACATACTGTAGTGTGCAAGCTGTCTGAGCAGACAGATAACGTATATAGTTCAGGGGCATTTTTTCCAAGTCATTTTTCATCACTTCAAAAACAGGACAAATCCCATTGTGTACCTATACATGACAATCTATATCACAGATTCTTGAGGTAATCACTCTCCTGTGAGATGGGACATAGCAGTGTTACCATGGATAACTTACTCGCCAGGCTTGATCACCACTGAACATGTCTGGCTGGAGCTGGAGTGAGGTGGCCTTGAGGGCTCAGAGACCAGTGAATAGCACCTGCAATTCAGGCTCTGAGAGGAACGCAGAGCCTAAGACAGAGATATGGCAATGCCCAAACATGATATTAGCCTGTGACTTTTACCATAGACCCCATGGAGATGACAGATATTGATTAGCATAATACATCCACTGGTGTCATGTATGTCCCATAATTGTAAAAGTACACAAGCAGCAAAAAGCCTTTTCCTGATGACTTGAATTTGCTGAAAGCAATACAGTTCTTTGATTGCTTGGTAACTGAAGGATTTTAAAATGTTCTCCTTGTATTCTGTTCAAAAGGCTCTAGTTTAATTGTCCTTAAACATGTAATCAGTAGTGTCTTTTGCTTCTCACAAGCAGATCTTTCAGTATAGACATGTTAACTTTTCATTTCAGCAATTTCGACAGCAGTCTAATATTTTTCCGCACAGCCCGTATACAACACCCCCATGTAAAAGACGAGAAGTGTTTCACAACAAACGGATCGTGTTTAAACATAAGCAAAGATGTACTGCATGAAAAAAAAACTAGAACATTCAGGTTCTTGGAAAACTGTTTGTTGGTCCCTTTACCTCCTTAGCGCATTGCAGAAAAAGGTTCTGCTGCACAATTTTATTAAAGCAAATTCCTAAAAGTATTGAAACATCATATGTATTTCACAGGACTGGTGTCTGAACTTCACGTTTACTCATGTAAAGCAGAAAAACAATTTAAAATTGACTTTCGTTTTGGATATGTATATTGACATAGTTTATTCAGTACCATGTTTACAGTATACCACGTGCCTTATCACATTCAAAATAAGCCAGAATATGATAATGAGGGTATATAACTGCTAATTTGTGAGAAGCCATGTGTATAGTGTATCCATGGGTAAGATCAGTAAACACACATCATGTTCTTGCTGAGATAAGCAATACCATTCTGTGCTTTGTTTTGGATCAGGTGTCTTTGCTGTCACAGGTCATGCTACAGGACAGGCCAGGCTGACAGCAGCGTGTGAAGCCCAGGGTCTGCAGGCAGGGTTGTGGTGGAAGAAGAGGAGGCTCTGGCTCGGGGAATTTTCCATCGCACGGCTGGAGGAACATGGAAACGCCAAGGCTGACCCGGCCTTCCCCGCCCAGCCCACCAGATGACATCACAGCCGCGGTCCCGACCTTGAGCAAAACCTGTCAACACGGAGGCCCCGGAGAACACTGTTGCACCAACAGAGGACGGTCAAGAGGAACAGCTGAAGCTCCCAGCCCGCCCGCAGTCCTGACAGTTCCACCGTAGAGCTTGACGGACATGGAGAGGCCAGTCCCGCAGATAAATATTTCAAAAACAGACGAGGAGCTCCCAGCCCCGTCGAGCTCCGCAAGGTCAAGGTCACACTCCTGCCAGGACAGGGAGAGCCGCCCCGCGGGGCTCCCTCCGGAAGATGAGCCGACGGAGCCGGGGGCGAGGAGACCCCGGTCGAGGTCCTTTTACAGTTTCGAGACGTCCAAGAGCACCAGCGATGGACCCCTGACCAGGTCCAACGCCATGAGGCCGCGATCTAAGTCTCTCCTGAGCGGCGATGGGATGCTGTCCTGGCTGCAGTTCCGGAGACCCAGGACAAACTCCAGCGGCAAAAAGCCGCCATCGAAAGACCTAGATGGTATGCCTGATAAAACAGTGGCGCACTACATGTGCTTCTCCTCATTTCATTCATTACCAGGATCTAATCTGAGAATAAAGTAAAGAAATTGAAAATATAATATTTCAGCTGTCCAAGAGTAAACAAGTTTACTAAAATAATGTATTATTATTGTTATTATATTATATATATATTAAACTATATATATAATTTGTATATAATATTATTATATGATTATATCATGTTTTATTACATTATTTTTATTATATATTATTTTAGATCTATGGCTGAAGTAAAGAAGCTTTGTGTCTTTGGAAACCTGGTGAACTTATTCATGTTTAGTTCAGAGTTTTAGGAAGAGCTTATCTAATTAAGATACCAATGCAAATATCTTGTTATACCTGAGTAATTAAACTGGTAATCGTTTAATTTCATCAGCTTTATTAATAGTACATTAAGAACTGAGGCAGAATAAGAAACAAGGTTTCTTAAAGTGTTCAGCCCTTAGTGTCTGTATCATATGTTTTCTCCTAGGAAGTGGAAAGAATGTGCTAAACATTCCAATTCTGACCATTTCGGAATCAGACAACTGGGAAGTTAGTTCATCCTCCACAATGAAATACTGGCAATTCGTAGACTGGGAAAAAATGGAGCCTAAATCTGCCCTAAACTACCAGAAGATCTTACAGAGTGACTGCAAGCAACTGAAGAGCATGGCCAGAGCAGGTTTTTGGTCCACAAGCCACACTCTGAGAGCCAAGGCCTACCACCACATCATCCATGGCATCAGCTGTAGGTCTGTCACCCCAGACAGGGAGATCTACCAGCAGCTCTCTGAGAAACTGTTTGGGAAGAAGAAAACGAGCACTCACCCTTTCCCAGAATACATGGAGAATGGCGCAATCCCCATGTACTGTCTCAGCAAGACTGGGGTCAACTCGGTCAGGAAGATTCTCCTTTGTATCGCGGCACATTTCCCCGATATCACACACTGCCCAGTCCTGCCGGCCCTGGTGTCTCTGCTTCTGCATTTCAGTGAGGACGAAGCGGAGTGCTTCCACAATGTGTGCAGACTCATTGCTTACAATGACCCGGACAAGCGCTACATAGACCAGACGTTCCTCGCCCACAGAGCCTCCTGCATGACTTTCCGAGACCTCGCCAACAAATACTGCCATGGTGCCCACAAGCTCATCGCCACCTCCAACCAGAGTCTGTTTGACATCTACTCAGATTGGATAATGTGGATCTTTGGTGCCGGGCTTCCATTTGAGTACGCCATCCGGGTCTTGGATGTGTTCCTGCTGGAAGGCTACAAAGTACTCTACCGGGTTGCTCTGGTTCTGCTCAGTCTCTACAAAGGTTCTGTGCCCTCCACGCCCTCCCACATTGCCAATATCAGACAAGACATCATGAGCTTTGTAGGGAACATCTCTTGCCATATCACAGTGGACAAGCTGCTGGAGAAGGCCTTCAGCATCCGCCTCTTTTCACGCAAAGAAATCAACCTGCTCTTGTCTGCTAACATGAGCGCCCTCCTGCAGAAGGGCATTAGCATTCATCAGAAGAGGTGAGAACAAGAAAACACAAAGATTTTTGTTCAAGATGTTTTGAGGGTTTCTCAATTAGTTCAATTAGTTTAAGTCTCAAGTCCAGTGAAAATAAGAACGCTTTCCTGAAATGTTAATGGTACATTTCTTTTTAGCAAATGTTGTGACCATCTTATGACTTGCAAATAGTATTATTCAGTATGTTTTCTTTTGCTGCTATACCCTGTACAGGGTAAAAACAGACTTGAGTTTTTCTGTAAAGTTTCCTTTCTGGAGAATTTGGGACTTTGTTTTTTTTTTAATTCTGTTTTCTGTAAATGATTGTAATTCACCTGGTACTGGGGAGTGGAGCTCTGGTTTAGCTGGCTGGGATGTTCTGAAGAACCAAGATTAAATTCCAAAATATGCAGAGCTGCACGTTACACCTTTTTTTCTGCTCTGTGATCGTGCAATATCATATTCCAAATTGTTTCAGATCTCGATTCAGTCCTCTTACCAACATGCTGGTACTCTCTCCCCACAGGATGTCCGTACATCTAGCAGTGGATCTGGATAACTTCAGCTCCAGTATTGTCACTGGACAGGAGATGAGGATGGTCTGGTCCTGGATTCCAGAGCGCTTTGCCCTGTTCCAACCCATCATGCTGTTCACCACCAGTGAGCATGGGCGCAGCCTGACGTCGTGAGTAGTCCCAGCTCTTCCTGGATGACAGCCTTCACAGATAAACAAACTCCAATCTCAAACACAACCCTTTAAAAAATGGTGGCTTATTAAAAAGTATGGGAATCTTTCAAATCAATCTGTCTCCAGTAAATAAATATGTATAGATACAGATCAGTCCAGTATCTTTATCACTAATTTTAAAGGAATAGATTAGATTCTCTGATTTTCATTTTCTTTTTTAATTTAAAAAGGGAGTGCACCCTGTGGGAAATGTTTCCCCTCAATCGAAGTTAAACTCCTTCGCGAAAACATTGCAAAAGCAATAAAGCATTTCATGGAACAGAGCAGTTTTGACAAAATAATAATAAAAGTACATTGATGTATTCTGGCTTGGGGATAGCAAACTGAGCCATGAATCATAGGCCAATGTTGTCATTGTTTAATGCACATGAAGCAAGTTCCATTTCTGAAAACAATGCTTCCTCTATGGGTGGTCCATGCCTTTAAGGTTATACTACAGTTATTGTACTATTTGAAATATGTTTTGAATTTTAATAGGAAAAGGGCCCATTGTGATATTAATGACTCTTTAACTCATAAATCCTTCTGCTTAAAGCATGACCATTTGGAAAATAATAGCTGAGAATGTATGAAGATGCAGATTATAAGCTTTGCAAAAGACAGCTGCTGTTACGCTCGTCTCAAATCTGCATGACTGTCCTTTAGTACACTATAAAGAACTAACTTTTGCCAACAAAAAGCTGTGAGCAATATGTTTAGGTTAAAAACGTCTTGAGAGAGCAAACCTTTACTTCATGAGCTGCCAAAGCTTTGCCTACATTTTGCTCAAGTATGCTCATATGAAAGAACAAACAGTTTCTTTCAGGCTAATAATAAATGTTATTCTGTATGTATAGAAATAATTTCAAACTGCTTAAAAAGGAAGAAATGAGATGTAGACGGTCCAGTACGAAATGAGCTTTTCAGCTTACTATCTCTGAAGTTTAAAAGCCAGCCCCAGAAAGGAGTGTAAACCTTTGGGGATCCAAATAAAAATATGGAAAGGAAGACAAATGTGAAAATCTGAATATTTTAGTTAGCAAATGTTGTTTTTATTGTTCGGATATCTGGGTACTGTAACTGTAAAAGAGTACAAGACAGATATTTGAGTGATTTCTTCTTCATTGCTCTCAATTAAATGACATTTACAAAACAGGCATTGTTGCCCATGAAGGGGGCATTTTCTCAAGCCTGGGAAGATGGAGGAACTTTCTAACATCTATGCCATGAATCACCAGGGCAGGACAGTCCAAGAATAAATCACATGACTGTGACATGAGAATGTGCGATTCTCTACATTGGTCATATTTTATGAGCAGTCTTGGTCCATAAATTTGTCTGACACATTGAGGGGCTTTTTACTAATCTGTTATTTAATTGCACATGTTTTAAAATGAAAACTATTGCCTTTAAATGTCAGAAAAGCAGACAGAGAGAAATGGAAAAACAATGTGCAGCTAATTGTACTTTTGAACTTCAATATGCCTTTTTTTTTTAAATAACCCTGATCAAAAGGAGTTCTCGTCAAAAAGTGAAAGGGAAGCTTGTCTGCTTATGATGACATTTCTGCTGTCCCTCACAGCCCAAAAAAAAGTCTTAAGTTAATAGCTCTTTCATGAGCTGACGTCTCTGTCCTCATGGTACAGACACTCACTCAAACAAGCACAAAACCACTTGCCACACAGCTGGGTGGTCTGAGCAGGATGTGGCCGTGCCTCTGACTGCTACAGTGAATGGTTCTGACCAGGGCCTGACCCTCTGACCCTCGAACACCTTTAACCTTTCTAAGGGCAGCATTCCGCGAGAACTAGCTCACTGTTCTCAGCCCAAAGCCGACATACGCGTGATCATTGAGGAGGGCTTCACTTGACAAGATACACAGGTAGGTAATGAGGTAGGCACTTCAGCTGGCAACTGCTGTAACGAGCTAGACTGCTGTAACGAGCCTGTAGCGAGACTGGCAATTAAGCTTAGATTAAGTCCTTCAGGAGCCAGTGGTTTAGTCCTGGTTTCTGGAACATTTAGCACACTGAAGGTGCAAAATTCCCCTTGTGACTGTAGTCCATCAGGGAATAACACCTGCCAAACCCATCTAAGGTTAAGGGTATGCAACCTGAAAACGAAATGCACTGACGCGACGGCAATTTTGCAGGTTGAAGGCATATGTCCAGATAAGATCTGAAATTTTGTTGCTCTCGTTAGTCCATTGTGGTTTAATATCGCAGAATTTTCTCTCCATGGAAAAGAGTGGCTGGCTGGCAGTACCAAAAAACGTGCTGAGTAATACTGCCTTTAACTGGAATTTAAAACAAAGACACTCATCCTTAGATGGGTGCCTGCATGAAACTTGTTGGAAAATTGTTCATCTTTGCTCCTACTCACATTGAACTTTGGCATATTTATACTGTAATTACAGTATCATAATAGTAAGCGTATATTAGAATGATAATAAAAGCCCACAACCCATACGTTGGCCAGACAGATTATTAATGAGGATTAATAATTAATTTGTGTAGGTTGCCATGCATTGTGTGTACTCAGTGCTTTATTAAACGGAAGAGACAAAAATGATCATTTTCATCCTTGTTAAAAAAAAATTGTTGTTTCAGGTTCTATTCGCAAGTTGAAGGCAGTGAACCGACTGTTCTTCTGCTCAAAACTGAAGACGAGGAAGTGAGTAGATAACTGTTTTTTATTTAAGAACTGAAAGTCACAAAAATGCTTTGTTTAATAATGAAGATATGATGTCAAAACAGGCATTTCCAACAACTGGTGCTGTGACTTCAAAGATTCTAAAAAGCTCAGTGAAATTCTGAGTGATGTCAGGACTCCTCTCTTCACCCCGCAGGTCTGCGGTGCATTCCTCTCGTCCGACTGGAGCGAAAGAAACAAAGGTGGTGGGAAGGGCCTGAGCTTCTTTGGCACTGGGGAGTGCTTCGTTTTTACCGTGAGTGAAGGACAACTCTAAAAAATTTAAATAAAGCAAAACTATCTTCCAGACGGGTGGCATGATAGCGCGGCGTGTTCGCTCAGTGTTCTCATGGACCCAGGTACTCCAGTTTCCTTCCAGCTTCCAAAGACGTGCTAACTGGGTTAACTGGTGTTTCTGAATTGTCCGAATGTGTGTGCGCGACCTGCTATGGATTGAAGTCCTACATTGCACCTTATGCATCTGGGAAGGGCTGCAGGGTGCTGCAGCCTTCACCAGGAATAACTGAGCAAGCAGGGGTGTTTTTGTGCAGCATTTCAGGGAATAACAGAATAACAGAAAAGTAGCTATTGTACATTATGTGCATTATCTACAACCAGTTTTAGAAAGACTTTCCAGATATTCACCCCTCCTCATGCCTCTTTACAAGCATGGCTCTTGACCATGCATGGGCCTCGAGGTTCATGAAAAAAAGAAGAGGTGACAATGGGCTGATCTGGCATTTCCTCTCCACAGCTGTGCCCTGAGATGGAGCGTTATGAGTGGGCCATCCTCCACCAGCCCAAGATTGCGAAGGAAACCCACATCCACTCCTCACCACACCTGAAGCCTCCCCCAGCCCTGGCCACTGAGGTCCCACCTCCTGTGACGCTGGCCGGCCCAGGAGGGACACCCCAGGATCCCAGCTACCTGACTGTCCCGTTCTCCGTGCCCTCTGAAGGCCCCCCACCCGAGCCTGCTCCCAGGAAACCCCCAAAGCATCCTTTCCCTGCCTCGATGTTCATGGCAGGGGGCACCGAAAGGATTATCATCGGTAAGGTCGGGAGCAAAGTATCTTCCACTTAGCCCAACACATCCCACGCAGCAGACACCTCCCATCTTCACAGGGGATGTGCTGTAAGAACAGTTTCTGAATGACAGGAGGCCGTTCTGTCTATCTTGCTTTGTGAGGTTGTCGACCTATGAATTCCATCTAATTGTTTCTTAAAGGGTCCCACAGTCGACTCAAACCACAAGACAAGAGGGTGGGTTCCAGTAGACCACTGTCCTCTGTGAAAATGAGTCTCAGAAAATCTTTGGGCTTTTTTCTGATACATTTTATGTCCTACTTCTATTTTGAATGTGTGGTCCTCTGCAAGGGTTGCACGGTGTGTCAGTTTTCTACGGGCTTGTTTGTTCTTCCAGCCTTTCTGTCTCCACGTTCCTCCTGAAATTCCCTGTGCCACGTTGTGCAGGTGAACACGGAAAACCAGTTTTAAGAAAGGAAAATGAACATACAGGAAATTGATGGTTGAGATTAGGTTGTTTTTTTTTCTTTAGTCAAGGTGTACTTTGCCAACATGTTGGCTAGCATGGAATAATTTGTGCCCTCTGTACGTGTGTGGGGACCTAATGGGTTCTCCAGGAAATGTCAAGGCAATTTAACAAGGTCCTGGTTCCTAATACGAGCTCAGCTGCTCAGATCATATTTTGATGTTTATTTCCAGTGGACAGACTCCCATCTTGGCTTAGAGGATTTCAGTATTTGCAGAGTTAAACACACTGAGCTCCTGACATCCTGCTCTCCTGCTCTCTTCTCTCTCCAGGAGGCGGTGGGGGTCAGGCCTTGTGCATTGCAGCTGACCTGCTGAACGGATGGACAGAACACTGTGACACCTTCCAGAACCCCCCTCTCTGCCGAGACAGCTTCAGGATTCAGTGCCTGGAGGCCTGGGGAATCCAGAACTCTCTATAACCCCAATAATAATGTGAAAAATGTAGTGAATAGAAGAAGTTGTTATTATTATTTATTCGTTTGTTTGACGTTTTTAACAACGGTTATTCACAGTTCAAAGTATATTTAATTACTGATTGTTCCCGTTGGCTTTATTTTGATTGCTCAATAATTGTGTTTCATCTGAATGAGCTCAATGTTTATATATCCATTATGTGCTGCACAGCATATTGGTGTGGTTAATCTGTGTACATATTTTTGACCAATTAAAGAAAAGGTTTCATATTCTAATGTTGGCATTTTTTTCCACATGCTATTCATTACGTATTGTGACACTAAAGGCGAAATTCTTTCTGGTCCTCCGTGCTTATATCTGTACTCGATTCTGACCTCAACGCTAGACCAAATTTACTAATATTAACTTGCAGAAAGACATCATATTGTAGAGTTTTTCGATCGCACTGCTAAACGGCGCCACTTCAACATCGTTTCAGAAGTCACCGACTGCAAAAATTAATACATCACCGGCTACGTCACAAACAGACCCCACCAACTGCGCATGTTACTTGGGCTCCTAGCAACGGGCCCAAACAAAACGTCCTGTTGCTAGGTTACACGTACAGGAGGCTTTTGCGTGCAGAGAGGAGACATCCTAGCTCATCAAACTACAGAAATATTTTATCTTTAAAAGCGAAGACAACGATGGCTGGAGACACGCCTGAGGTCCCGTTGCTTGAGCTGGAATCAGTCATTGGATTTAATGGTATTCATCTTTATCTTTTATTTTGGTTTGCTTTTAGCTTAGTTTGCGGGATGTAGTTTTCGCAGTTCGATCACAGTGATGTGTATTTCGGCGGCCTCTGAGTATTGTAAGTATTGTAAGTATTGTACAAAAATTGTATTTTGTAAACACACAAGAAAATACATATCATTTGTATTGAATGACGGTCGCGTTGTTTCAGTTTCGGGATCTTTTTTGAGATGCCTTGTGCCTGAGGGCACTTTGACCTTTCCAACAACGTTAACAGAAACGATTCAAGTACTTAAGTTTCGTTTCAAAGCTTCCTGCAAAACATACTGTACAATTCGACACTGAAAGGTAAGAAACCCTGGACGTGTTGTGCTTGAGACACAATCCAAATAATTCTGAATTTCAGTCAGTAACATCAAGGTCGCTTTTACCGTATCAAAGCTGTAAAGCTTGGTAAAGCGTTGGAACTTCGCGGCCCTTTATAATGAGGATTCACAACGCATCAACAAGGACAGTATTTATATGAGAGGCCAGGAGGCAAACCGTCCTCCACCAGCATCCCAGCAGGCTGTGCTCTCCAGGGAAGGTCAGGGGGTGGGGGAGATCAGGAGCAGGGTGACACCAAAGATCCTCACACCAGGAGTGGAGTGGAAGACGGAGGTGGACCCTGGCAGCCAGCTGCAGTTCCCTAGGGAAGTCTGCAGCCCAGCCCTGCTTCCTGATCCACTGTAGTGGTGTACAGCAGGCAGAAGAGACCACCACTGTACTCCCTGCGGAACTGACAGCCCCATAGGAGGAGGGCATGGAAGCTGCACGTGAGAGGAAGAGGTGGCTGGAGACCCTTCATCTACCCTGTGGAGGCAGGGTGCCCCGGCTTTATAAGTCCATCAGTGTCACAGCTCCGCAGGGTTCTGGGAGGGTTCTGGCATGACGCTGAAGAGGGGCAGCTAGCGGAAGAGGCAGAAAAGGCAAGCTTCTGGCTGTGTTCGGAGGAGAAGAGATGGGTGCTGGGGGCCGAAAACCCCTAATTCGAGGGAGGCCAGCTGCAGGGGGTGGCAGGGAGACGTCCCTGTCCCAGCCCCGCCGCTAGGAGATGTAAACTGGTGAAAGAAGACCCTGTAGATGGTCTGCAGGCACTGTAGGAGGTGTGGCCGGAGAAAGCCGTGTGGGTTAACATCCAGCTGTATAGATGATAAAGGGGTATATATTATACTGTACATAAGGTTCAAATGATTCATGATTCATTTGTTCCAGTTCACGTTCTGAACAGCTAAATAAACATGGGGAAAAATTCAGTAAGGTCAGCCTTCTGTACAACACAAACATTTCTTGTTTGCAGTCATGTATTTGTACACTGCTGTTCAGCCTCCTCTAAACGGCTGTATAGGTACAATTGAAGTGGATATCTTCATATGCCTGTGTATCTGAATCATTTTACTCTTTTACTTACATTATTCCTTTAGAGATCTTCATTTCTGATAATAAACTAGTCCATCTTCATTCATGTTAACAGTGGTGGCAAGGTGATTATATACTGTAGGAGCAAAAAATTGGACTGAATGTATTTAACATGTGGGAGGTCTTGTACCCTTTTCTCAGGACAAGTGTTCTCTGGCCTGATTGCCCACCCTGACCAGGAACACCTCATTTATCCTCTGGGATGTACTGTCATCATCAAGAGCCTCAAGAGCAACAAGCAGGAGTTTCTGCATGGCCACACAAACAATGTCTCCTGTGTGACTGTATCTAGAACTGGAAAATATGTTGCTTCAGGTCAAGTCACCTTCATGGGCTTTAAGGTAAACTGATGAATAAAAATTAAAGGGTATATGCTCTTAAATGCCTATCATAGAAAAATTAAATGGCAACGCTTTTGCACAGGTTACAGGACTGTTCCTTTTCTTCATACCTGACACGTTGTGCCTACTATTTTAGACATTTAAAGAAGCTTGTTTAACATGTCTTCTTCACTGTTTTTTCTTTGCATTAAGATTTTTGTCTGCTCTATTTGAATGATTTATTTTTTGTGTTATTGAGGATTGTATGTTTTGTAAGTTGTCCCTGATATGGGCATCTATTAAACAAATTCATGCTAATTATTATTATTATTATTAATATTTTGTTGTATCTTGACTTCTACCATTTGAACAAGTAAAGTTATTGCTTCAACATGTAACAGACAAAGGGTCTCTGCCACATAACATGCAGGTGAAAACAGCTGCGTACATACAATGTTACAATTGAAACAGCAATGATGAGAATGAAACATGGAATAATAATAATCCCCTGTTGTGGTATCATTGGCAAACCCAGACTGATAAATCTTTCAGAATGTAGATCACTGTTATACATTAGGAAGAATAGTGGTCATAATACAGATTGCAGTCTCCACTGATTAAATCACTCCAATATGACCATTTATCATTGCATTAAAATGGACACAATTTCTGTGTTAATCATTGCAGGCTGATATCATTGTCTGGGATTACTCCAGGAAGGAAATGTACACTAGATTACAGCTCCACAAGGCAAAGGTTGAAGCCCTAGCGTTCTCCCCCAGTGACTTGTATTTGGTGTCCCTTGGAGGCCAGGATGATGGCAGGTAATTTGTGGAGTAAGGTGATAGAATATAGTACGTAGCAGAATAAGTGTGACAGTTACAGTAGGTCATGTAGATAATTAGGCCCAGGGTATATTCACGTGTGCTGCACAATGACAATAGGTTATAGAACATGTTGAGTTATAATGAGTTAATAGGACATGCTCCATTTCAGTCAGGCAGTGGTGGCTGGTTTGAACCTCACATGTTTGTCCTTTGCAAAGTCGTTGTTTGCTAAACTTGTCATCATTTTCATCCATAGTTATAAAACATCATCTCTAAACAAAAACAAAAAAATTAGAGGTGGTTATGAACAGTTGTTGAGGATTATCGTGATATTTATGATAATGGTAAATTAGGTACCCTCACGATCTGAAAATGCAATTAGAAGTCTTTAAAAAAATGGAGAAAACACTATATATATAAAAAAGAGGGAAACAATGGTTAAAAGTGCATTGATTTCATTCTGGAAAATTGAGAAACACAACTCAAGATCCAGGTGAGACACTGCTGTTGTGCTCTTGAACAAGATTTCACCCAAATTGCTCCACTAAAATGCCCAGCTGTATAAATGGATGTACAATAAATGAAAGCACTGGCCAAACAGATTGGTTGTAATATTTAAGCAACTTTCAGCTGACTGCTGTTCTATATTTAGACAGAGCAAATAAATATACAGTAATAAGCATGGATTAAAGATGCCATAGAGAAGCGCATGTCACATGCAGCTGTAAGACTTGCAACACTGCGAGTTCAGCAAAATTGAACCAGAAATTGTGGGAACCCAGTTGTAACAAGTCTTATTGTTTTCAGTAACCTTAGTATTCTGTTTGGAGATGTAAAATCATCACATGTTTGTTATTTAAAGTATCTACAAAACTTCAATGACACATTTACTGTCAACAAATGTTGTGCGTGTCTTTCAGCATTGTTGTGTGGAACATCGAGAGCAGAGAGGCAATCTGTGGCAGCCCTGCCTCTGCCCACAGTGCAGGTCACTGCCTGACAGTCAAGTTCTCCAACCAAAGTGATTACATTTTTGTATCGGCTGGAAAGTAAGTTAATGTGACCTCAATTGACATGATATACATTCACGCTCATCAACCTGATAATCCACAAGACAGAAGACTGATGGCTTTTAAAATGAAGAACACAGTTCAAGACATGTTGTTTATTACAAATCATCTTTATTGGTTTCCTTAAACCTAGCTATCCTACATTCCAACTTAAAGGGTGTTAAGATGTTGAGCTATATCAAACTCAGTTACAAAAATCTCCAGCACAGTGGTAAGACTGAGTGTAGCACAACAGTGATCCAACCCTCCTCTGCCCTTATGATCTCTGCAATGTAGAGATCACTCACATGTCTTGCCAAAAGCATATCGGTATTTAAATTTACAGTGTCACACAAGCATGGCTTTATTGGAACACCGTGCTCTGTGTTAGCTTATGCAGGTATGAGAGTAGGAATAATTAGACATTGTGACATTAGAATAATAACGATACTCTTTCTCATGCAGTGGGACACTTCGTGTTTGGGAGTTGGATCTTCCAAACAGAAAAATCCGACCTACGGAATGTCAGACTGGACAGCTGAAGAGAATAGTAAAGTGCTTAGAAGTAAGTCAGACCTGGACTGACCAATCCCTAGAGATTAGAATGATTAGAATGAAGAGGGGAGAGTTGAATAGAGTTGTAAAAAAATGAAATGAAACAAGTTAGTGTTTCTACAGCTTGCAGTAAATGTGACAATGGTGTCATGACTATATTTTAGATTCCGGAGGATGACAGCTTTTTCTACTGTGGGACAACTACCGGGGATGTTCTGAAAATTAATCTCAAAACCAAACTTCTCAACTACTGTGCACCTTTGAAAGAGAAATTCAGCAAGGTGGGTTCAACCACAGAAAGAAATTCAGAATAATGGTGGTGCTGCTTTTCAGGACAAGGTGTTCACATGCCAAATCACTGAATAACTATAGAAATAAGATGTTTGCCTTCTGTTTTAGAAATAGCAACATTTCCCTTTAAATATGATAATTATTATTGGGGGAGAAGACCTATAAACAATTTCCTTGTGGAAAAACGCGTCTTTACTTATACAGTAGGTAACATTGGGCTGCTAGATTCCTGCATGTTATTTCTCATTACTGTATATACTGTACTGATACAACACAGTTTGCTTTGTTAAGTGAAAAGTACAAAGAGATAAAATACACTTCAAAGGTATATACACCCCCATGAAGCTACAACCTTAAGAGGAATAAAACAGAGCTATTACCACGGGTTTTTTTCATCCAAAGTGGGAAAAAAATGTGTTTCTTATGAATGGAAGGAATGCCGGTTCGGGAGAGACATTATTAAGATGAGTCTGGACTGTGGCAGACTGAACAAATTGTAATCCCGATTCTTTCTGTTACATGCAGCTCTTCTCTGAAAACAGAAAATTCAGTCCGAAAAGAGCAGTAATTGTTTCTGTTCCTGCAGGGGGTTAATACTCTGAAGATGCTGAAAACTGGCGATATGCTCGTGGGGTCAGGAGATGGCATGCTGAGCCTTTGCAAAGAGGCAAACTTCAAACCCATGAAGTAAGATACAGTTGCTCTTGAAATCCAAAGGGATAACAGATCATAGCCTATCCATGAAAAAAAAGTTTAAAACTGTTTGACAATGACCTGTATATGTGATTTGTTTTTTTGTATTTTAAGAAAAGTACAGCTAGAAGGTGGTGTGACATCAATCACTTTACGAGGCCAGGGGCACCAGTTCTTTGCGGGAGCAGAATCTTCTCAGATTTATCGGTTTAACTACGCTGACTTTAAAGAAGAACTCATCAGCACAGGCCACAGTCATGCTGTTAACGATGTTGCCTTCCCCTTGTAAGTATCACATGAACTGAAACATGGACAGTTTAGGTGGTTGGCATGCTCTATAGTATTTATTACGTACTAGTTGTAGTTACAAGGCTAAAATGTCATAGCGCGCCAAGTATGTAACAAGGAACCAGAACGTCAAGTACAGAATTGTTTTTAATAAACCTTGACCTATTTAACAAGTAGATGATTTACCATAAGAAATAAAAGAGCGTTATTGAACTTAACAAAGGTAATAAAACAGGATTGAAATAACTTTCTACAATATTAAAGTCCAGTCCAGTTTGTGATATCTGTAGTTTTTGTTTTTGATTTTTACGTTAATGTTTGATTTATACATTCATTCTTTTTTTTTTTTACATTTTTTGTGAGTGCCACATACAAGTGATTTAGTTCTTAACTAAATTTAAAGAGCTAGCTGAGTATATATCCGGGATACCTTTTCGGTATTGAAAGACTTGGCAGTCACTCCTAGAGACATAAATGTTTGGAATGTGAGTTCAAAATTTGAAATCATAGGTCTATGTCACAGCTCTCCTGTTCTCACAGTTTGTGGGTTTGTACAGTATGTGAGTATGTGTGGGTACCACCAGGGGGAGACAGCAGATTAAAAAAATGAAGTGGATTGGGCAATCTAGCATTTGAAAGCATAACAATGTGCTATTATAAATATAATTTCATTTAAAAGGAAAGAAAAAGAGGGGTTATTATTCATCGTCTTTTTGCAGTGAAGTCTGAATGCTTGGTGAAATGTCCTTGCATTTTAAATAGTTTTTAACTAAAATGGTACTCTGATTGTTCTTCCAGTGGCTCCTCCGATCTCTTTGCTACTTGCTCAAAGAATGACATAAGAGTGTGGCACACCGAGACCTCTAAAGAGCTTTTACGCATAACTGTGCCTAACATAACGTGCAGTGCTGTGGAGTTCATGAGAGATGGAAGGAGTATTATCAGTGGTAAGGTTTTTACTTAATTTCACACTTGCTTTAACTCTTCATTTAATAAGCTTTTGCATATGCTGTCTTGTTAATGTAATGAATGTCATAAAACGTCTGTCATCTAAAAAAAAACGATGGAAGCCAAACTTCAAGCCATTAACATAATGTTGTACCCTATTCAACAGTGTACTTCATGTGTTGCCTTCTTTGTTTCCATAAGGTTTTTTTTTCAGTAATAAAAGGCCCAATTAGAAGTGATTGAGTTTTTCTTACTAAAGTGTATTGATCATCTGAAAGACTTTTGATGTGCTGGGAGGGTGTAAGAACATAGAAAGCACAGACTACAAATGACAAAACGTGTCATTTGACTCCATCCAAAAAACGCCCACCCAGAAGAAGAGGGAATGGAAGATGTCATGTACGATAGGTGTCATCGAGTCTGGCGAGATAACAGTTGTTTCTTCTCTCTCAGCTTGGAATGATGGGAAAATCCGGGTCTTCACCCCAGAAAGTGGCAAATTGATGTTTGCTATTAACAATGCGCATAGCATGGGTGTGACAGCCCTTGCTACAACCAGTGACTGCAAGAGGATTGTGAGCGGAGGAGGAGAGGGGCAGGTAAGCCATGTGCTGCGTTTAAAAATATTTAGTCACTCTTCAGCATCGCCTTTTATTGCAAAGGACATTTTCAGTAAAGTCAGATTTTGCTTATGGGTTAATAGAAGTTTTCCCATCTACTTAATACCTACTCTTCAAAGGAATTTTAAACATCTATACCGTTTCCTGTCGTCACATGTGTTGCAATTAACTTCACCGTTCAAAATGTGTCACCTACTGTGTATACTGGGAGCATACAATCTTCTTTTCATTTTTCTTGCCAGTCCAGATCGTTGGACGTACTGAAGTGTTCTTTTGTGTTCAGGTGCGGGTCTGGGAAATCGGGCAAGGCTTCCACAGGCTGGCCGAAACAATGAAGGAACACAAGTCCACCATCTCCTCTATAAAGATCAAAAAGAACGACAAGGAGTGTGTCACTGCCAGCTCAGATGGGACTTGTATTATCTGGGACCTGGTGTAAGTGCCAGCGTGACTGTCTGTCCCTCAGTTCAGCTGCTTTTCATCTCGCGTTTTCAAATATAATTCAGTTTTTCCTCCTTTTACACTACAGAATGTTTCTCTTTGGTTGGTGTTGTTGGCACAGTAAGCTGCACTCACAATTTAATTTTATCCATTAGTGCCATGTGTCAGTCCATCCTGGCTGTGAGGAAAATACCCAAGCTCTTTATTAAGTGTGGCTTAAGTATTTGTGTAACAACAAAAACTGTAGCACAACAGGGTGAAAATATTCGCTCGTGTGTGACTATAGGGCAGCAATATGCTGTTGTCAGAAGAAAAGTAAACTGCTCAAAGACACACCATACAGTTGGTTCAAAGTGAAAATAAACAACATGATTTAAATATCAGAAACAGAAAGATTTAATGCTTAACTGACGATCTTGAACCGGTTGTTTGTTATGAGAGTGTGCTGTTGCATGACCTATGCTTCCAATTCAAAAATATCAACTGTTCTATTGGATTTAACACAAATTCAGTGTGTGTACTTTATGCTGCTGAAGTACAGAGCTCAAGCACTTGTCATGGTCAGAATCGAATTTCTTTTTAACTGAGGCATGCAGACAACTGTATCGTGGGATGCATTCAATTTATACCCAAAAATGTTTTTTCAGCTCTCAAAGACTTTTTGTTTGGAGCTGTATTATGCCCTTCTGCCTAATGTATATGATAATGTATACTGTATGTGCAGCACCTGATTGGACAAGAGTCAGTGTCACTTTGCCTCTGCACACTTTTAGCTACACCATAAGCCATAATGCCACTTAGGTAGCATTTCTGAAACAAATACAATCTGAACAGCAAGGTGGGATACTGTATGTTTTAATTGCATTGCAGTCTCAATGTTAAAACATGGTGAAATAAAGCTGGTACTGTATGTCCACAATTAACATGATGGATGAGTACCAGAAGGAGAGTGGACTATTTAAAATAAATATAGCATGTATTTCTTTAATTGCCAGATTAAACAATAACAAACCTGTAAAATCTCAGTGTTATATAGCGGCGATTTACCATTTTGTTTTTTCTCATTTGTACTGCTAGCCGAGTTGTGAGGAATCAAATGGTGCTGGCGAACACCCTGTTCCGATGTGTCTGCTACCACCCAGAGGAGTTTCAGATAATCACCAGTGGCACAGACAGAAAGGTAAGGCTGCAGCTGGACACTGGAATGCCAGAGCCATGTACTTCAGTACATCGAATGGGCGGTACTGAGTGCCCCTGAATCTTGGTCCTATTATAGTGCACTTAAATACCTTTTGATACAAATTACTGCTTTATGCAGCACCTTTTTTTCCTCTAAATGTCCCTTTATTAGCCTTGTATAAGATGTTCTGCTCCAATGATTGCGCCATTAATTTCAGTGAAGAGAACCTTGTGACACTGTAATAAGAACGAATGATGAAGCCTGGGCTATTGCAAAACTCGCTAGGGTAGATCTCTTTTATCAAGGAGGTAAAGAGATGAATAAAGAAAGTACTTCTTATATCATCTGAGCTGACATATTCCAATGTTCTTTTTTGAACTGCAAAATTGCATACTATATTTTGCTTAATGGTCTGTAAAAACAGAAATATAAATTACAGTGGAAAAAGTGAAAAGTAGGTATGCAAAATAAGGAAAAAAGGAATCACATAATAAAAACTAATAACAAAATATCTCAGAGTTTGATATTGATTTTAATTGTTAGTGACATTTAACATGAATTGTATTGCATTTCTGAACAGAAATTGCCAGGTTGCTTACTTTTATATCAAAATAACTCTTTCTTTTATATTGTTTGTATTCGAGCCTTACATCAAAGGTCATTTAAAAGTGACACGTTCATTTCCTGTTTTTCTAAACACAGAAAACCTATAAACCATACTATTTTGGCATTCTTGAATAAATATTTTTCACTTTAAATCAGCTTTATCAGCCTCATAAATGCAGTGGTGTCATGAACACATACTATTTAACAACATCAAAGACAAATTGATTAAATAAGAAATCATCACCTGTTTATTTCACGACCATCTTAACTGAGATGTAGAATTTTCCATCTCACTCTTAGCAGCTGATTAGCAATCAGTAACAGGATGGCATGCTGGGTCTTCATATTGATGCCGCTGAATAGAACTTTGCTTCACACCCTAATATGGACAGCAATGATATCTTCTGAGTGGAAGAATGCCAAAATCACCATCTGCTAGCTGAAAACATAGTTACGCTGCCTGGTTAAGGACAGACAACTGCTAAAATTAAATATGTTTAGTGGCGATCAAGGTGCTACAATACACTGTGTACTGTGTGCACAAAATGTAGAGATCATGAACAGATTGCAAATGCCAGAAACTCCAGAGGTTAGTAAATTTCTGTGATAATCCTGAAGTGATCATGTAAAAGCATGCAAGGCTGACTGGTCATACACTTTAATAAGGCAATCGTATATAAAATTTCAGAATTGGAAGAACTTGTCATATGGAGCTCCTGTCATTAATTTATTTCAGAGAATTTGGCTGACTTTCTCTAAGTTAGGGAGAAGCATGGTGAGTTTTTTTTGGCTTTTTTGCCTTTGAGCTCCAGAGTCTTGGGTTTTATTCTGGCTTTGCAACGAAGGCTTGACCTAAATAAATATTATTCTAATTATGGAGCAGGGGCACAGAAACATTTTTGAAAGTCGTTATTAATTTATTAGTGGTTTTGATTTATATTAATTAATCCGTGAGTGGCCTGATTTAATTATAATAATAATCATCATAATAATAATAATAATTGCTGTAGTAGTTCAGGTGGGTAGCTGCATCAGCATGTGTAGGCTGCAAAGGAACAAGTAACAGGTTTATTCCATGCTGAAAAAAAGAGGAAAGAAAACAGGTTGTGGAGCCTTCTTCAGGTGTGAGGTGTGAATTATTGCTTACACTTACATAGCGCTTTTCTGGACACTCCACTCAAAGCGCTTTACAGGTAATGGGGATCCCCTCCACCACCACCGGTGTGCAGCCCCACCTGGATGATGCGGCGGCAGCCATAGGGATCAAATGCAAACCAGACACTTATGCTGTCCGTATAGAGAGCAGGCAGACAGTAACGATCACAATTACTACCAGTAAAAGTTTTTCCAAGTAATGTGCACCACACTCACAGCAGACCATTAGCAGTTGGCTGTTTCCTACTATAAGAAACACATACCCCCTACTATTCTTTTTCTATGCAACTGTTTTGTACGTTAAATAGTATTTTTGAGAACAACGTGTGTTCCATATATGAGCAGGGTTGAATGAGGGTGTGTACTGTATTTGATTGTGTTGTTACACTAATTAGAAGTGTGGGCACACTTATAATTGCCATTTAATTATCTATATTTGCTTCTGTTGAAGCCCTTACATGTATAATACATCTCATGAAGGTTGTTTAGATAAATATCAGTACAAGAAACAAAGATGTTAGTTTTCCTTTTTGAGTGTATTACTACTGCAGAGGGTTAAATACTTGGCTTGTCTCAGCTAATCCTGTTTCAGAAATACATTTTTTTAGCCCAGGATTTGGGGTTTAACATAAGTAGCTGCTATTTATTTATATCTATCCACTCTTAGTTCTTTGTTTTTAATTAACAATCGTGTTGAACTAATAAGAGAAGTCATCAATTGTCAAGGCGATTGTGTTAATAATGTGCTATAAATATCTTCAAATAGCAATTGATGTTGTAAGACCTAGCTGGAAGGAGACAGCTGCCAAACCCCAGAAATGATTAGCTCTCATTCTGAGGCATAAACATATTTTTTTTAACTGCTGTGCATTATGTTTTGACAGACGGTAGTGGTGCAAATTTACATATAGAGGACTTATTAGGAGAATATCAAGACAGTACCATAACATCCACAAATGAGCTGGGTCCTTTCTAGAATGCATGAGGCAATTGGAGTCATGAGTTCACTATACAGTACCTACACATTATAACAGGACGAGGAGAACAAGTAAAATCCTCTAGGGTACTTAACGTCAGATGAAGAAGAAAAAGTGTAGTACATACCATCCTGAACGAGGTAATTATAAGATAAAACCAAGATGTTTTAACATTAGTATTGGTTATCAGAGTACATGATTTGTATAATACAGAAGAAGTAACATTAATCAAGACAACAGGAGAAATGCATCTGTTTAATTTTAATTTGGCCATATATCCACTGTTAGCTTCGTGCCTTTTCGGAATATTTACAGCTAAGTAAATGAATAACAGATCTGGAAGACCTAGGCCTCAACATGTAATACTTGTCCCCTTTTATTTCTGTACCTCTTCATAGATATGATTTAAATCTGTGAAATTTAAAACAGTCTTTATTTCTTTTTTTTTCTTTGTAGATTGGATACTGGGAAGTGTTTGATGGGTCTGCTATTCGGGAATTGGAGGGCTCTCTGTCTGGATCCATTAATGGCATGGACATCTCAAGTGATGGCAACCATTTTGTTACTGGTACAGGACATAAATTATGTGCCAATAATATCAGAGGGGCACACCTTTTCATTGCTGTTATCTGTAGTGTTTGTCAGTTTTAAGTACATTTCTCTTCTTGAAGCATCAGAGCAGAAGATCATAAAAATATGAGCACAGCAGCACAGTGCTTTACCTTTACGCGTTAAAAGCACATTCGGGAATTTCCAGAATGAGTGATCAAACTGTTTTATTTTCAGTTAGACTGTCTAATTCAGTCGGCTACACGGGCTATGGTTTGATGTTATAGTACAACTGAAATTGAAACGCTTGAAATTCGCTTGAAATTCAAAAGTAAGGACCCTTATTTGTAACCTAAAGCATTGTTTTGTGGACATTTGGGACATGCACCAGTTCCCTATATGGTTTTAGTGGTTTTGATTTATACCAAAGTACACTGTGGTAGTATTAGTTTCCTTGGCATTAATGATTAGTCTTTCAAATAATCAGACACAGAAATACTAAACACTGTATCCCTGGGGTGCCGTTTCCATGCAGGTGGTGATGACAAACTCGTAAAGGTCTGGGGGTACACTGAAGGAGAGGTGACCCACATTGGCATCGGGCACAGTGGCAACATCACCCGTGTGAAGATCTGTTCCAACAGCAAGTACATCATCACTTCCAGTGCAGACGGCGCAGTGCTCAGGTGGAAGTACCCACACCCAGTCTCAGACTAAAAGACTGGCTGGCGGGCCGACTGGGTGCCATTCTGCCCAGGATCACAAGGCAAATGCTTGTAGGACAGTGACAGTAACCATGAGGGTTTCCCAGCTACCTGTGCAGTTGTACCCATTGTAACTTTCAAAACACAAATTAACTGCAGTATTTTTTCAGCTATACATAGTTGTTAAATAAAGTGTGAAGAATATTTAAAGAGCTGGCATTAATTGATGTGTAACTACATCACCCCAATATCTAACTCATGACTGCAGGGCAGTCTTTTTCCACACTGCATTTATTGATCCCACTGGGATGGCAGACAAATTACAGGAGTCAAAAAGTAATTTATGGGTGTTTTGTACTCCTGCAAAACTCTTTGTCAATTCATTTGATTAAAAAATGGCAAGAAAGCCAAATGTGTCTAGCGGTTTAAAAAATATTATTAGCTAAGTGCTGAAATAATATTAATGTTTTATTAAATTTAATTATTGAAGATATAACAGAGATTTAAGTAGGTAACGATTCAGTCAATATGAACATATTTTGGGAAAATGATGCATTTGAGATTTTTATGTTTATGTTTGTGGTTGAAAACATCTTATGGAGAAAAGAGACAGCAACTTTGTTCTTAGCACAACAGTACACACTTCGAAAGTGTCGCTCTAGTCGGATGGTACAGTTGATTCAAATGGAGTAAAGTGCTGTGTTTCACATCCTGTACTTCCAGTGTTAGAAGTCTTCCTTGCATCAAATTCATTTGGTCTGAGAAAATACAGGCCTATTTATTCTGCAGGCCAAAGGATGTAGTTTAACTGAATTTTAATGTATCAGTGAATTCATGTCAAGAGTGGACACCAGGATTCTGATAAAAGTGAATAAAGTCATAAAAGCATTACTTTAGTTGTATGAATACATATACCTATAGGAAATGGGAAATGCTATTCAAAATATATACCTTACATCAAGGCATTGAGCATACTGAATTAAAAATGTATCCTGCAGTTAGTTAACTTAAGTACTTAAGTGAAAAATACAGGAATACAGATACAAAAAAAAAAGGATTTCACAGTAATCCTTAGTGGCAGCTGAAGTATCGCTCCATGCATCCCAAAAAACAGAAAAAAAGGTCCTGTGTTGGGGAGAGTCGGGGTGGGGGTGGAGTTGAGGGGTGATTACTGGCTGTTTCTGATTAGGAGATCATTTTCATTCTGGTGTTTCAAAACCTAAATTATTGCGTCTGCCCACACACCCTGCCGGTGCAAGGCTGTGTTAAGTTAGCAAAACACCAAGTTTACATAACAGGGCATTCAAAGGTCCCCAGTCTGCCCTGAACACTGAGCAGGTCTAGTATTTACTTGAGTGTGCTGGGTGCTCTATAGTGTGAAGAAGAGAGCACATGCGCTGATTCATTACTATCAATGTGGGGAAAGGTTAAAATGTCCCACAAAGATAACTCCTAAAAGACCAGATTAATTTCATTAGCAGTTTCACTTAAAACGTATAAAATATTTTTATTTTCATTGCCATTTACCCTCGCTGAGTAAATAATGCTTACTAGCTCTTACCTGACTGCATTCTGAATCCTGACAGTAAGGAGCCTCTAATGTTTTTCCTAACTAGACCTGAAAAAATATGGTCCATTATCTTTTTCCTCCTTGTTTTGTATAATAACAATTGTTGATGAGTACAATCAATGAAAAATACATATTTATCTTTGACTGTGCACTGTCCCGATTTCAAAACAATTCCCTTCATCACTAAATCCCTTTTCTTACTTTACATGACAAAAGGTTTTTGGAGGTTGTGTCTGTAATTTATCATTAGCTTCTTATCCTTAGGCTTCTGTTTGTCTTGACTTTCACAAGGAGATAGTGGCTTAATCAAATAAAGATTATGGGTTTCTTATATTGGATGGATGGGATTCAACCTTGTTTTCACTGTACGTCCACAGCGTACCATAAATAAACACTTCTTCTACAGAATAAAGAAGGCATACAGAGGATGTGTGAATCACATCTCTGTGGGTTGATAGGTATTATGTATCCTTAATACCTAAATTTAGACAGAGACACACACCAATTAAAACCCCTCCACTTCCTGCCTCCTGTCTTTGTTTTACTCTGTGATTGCTTTTTAAAATGCACAAGAGTCTGTATAGCTAGCCCATCAGTAGGGTGACTTATACTGAACATGAATTTGCCTTTGGAACCTGTAGCACAGCAGCCATAATCATGAATTATAAGAGACATTGGGAAAATTATTTCCCTTTAAATGAAGTGGCATCACATCTGTACATTGCAGCGAATCCTTGAAATGTTTATATGGCTTCCTGGTGACTGTTGATGAACTAAGAAAACAGGAAAAAAATCTGGGATGACCTTTTAAAGTATTTAGCCTCATTTATGTAAAAAAAACAGCACAATAATTATCATTACCATTATTGATGAGAATAACATTGCATTTTGAGATACCACTTCTAACTTTATTTCTAAAGTTAATGAAGTCATTAAAGTGATTAACGCATAATCTGGGCTAAATGCTTTTTTTTTTAATTGAATGGCCACTCCATTGCATTAATTTCAATGTCACAACATACGGTCTCTGGAATTGCTTACGGGACCGCTAGAGGGCAGCAAACACTCGTAGGACTGAACGATCATTTCCAGTTCTTCCAGTTCGCGAAGAACACACACCGTGTGTGTGGACAAAGTTTATTTTTCCCGTTTTGTGTCTCATCTTGAGCACAAAACTGATTTGATTCCACACTGCACATGACGCGCACAGCATTTCCAAAAAGTTAATTTCTCTTTGTGTATTTATAAAAAAAAAATATGACAATTAGAACTTACTAAATAAAACCAGATATGTAACCGTGTCCCTTTGCTCCCAGCGTATTCCGTACACCCTTCTACTACCTCCTCTCACTGAGTATATTCACTGTGCATAAATTTCTGTATTTTGTAGCTATTCTGTGAAGCGCCTCGAGAAGCTAGTTTTAAAAGCGCTGCATATAAAAACAAGTTTTTAATGCGGAATCGAAAGCTACAGAATGCAACACAAAGGAATGGATGATAGCAAATAATGCATGCGTGACAACATTTCAGGTCGTGCACGTTCCTTACGAGGGGAAATACACCGCCGTTCGCGAAATGAACACAGAAACGTCTTTCTCTAAACATCTGTTGAGCCTCTATTTTTTTTTTTTGGCGCTTCCGCATAAACACCTTTTACCGTGTCAACCTGACGTCAGCAGGCAGCATCGCCGGCTGTCGCCGCGAGTAGCACTGTCTAGCCCTCCGCTCCCTCCACGGCGACGACGCGCCGTCAAAACAACGGCAGCGGCTTTTTTTCTCTCTCCTCCCAAACTAAACCAGGCTAATAAGATTCAGAGTGGGAGGGCAGATCCGCCAAACAGAAACACACACCGGCCCCGGGAGTAGAGAGAGAGAGGGAGGGAGAGCTGGAGCCAGTTATCTTTGCGAGGCAGGGAGGGGGAGAGAAAGAGAGAGAGAAAAGAGCTCGGGAAAGGAAGCAAGTGTGCGGCGCACAAAACATGGAGTTACAGACAACTCACCTTTCCAGTCATTCCAGGTGCTGCCAGCGACTGGGATAGCAATGCGCGCAAGAGCACTGAGGCATCATCGGAATGTCTGAGGGGTGTCACACATGCACACCCGCCTGTGTCGCCGTGCTGCTGCAGTCCGCCTCTCTGTCCTGTAGCGTGAGGAAGAACTTCATTACTCCGAGGCGGACAGGTGAGGAGCGCCGCCCCGGTGCCCGGCTCCGGCGTTGCTTATTCTCGTTTCTGAGCGTCAGGCGAGCAGGGGGAGAATGGATGACCAGGGGGAGGACAAACCGAGGAAGCACGAGAAGAGCAAGGCGCCCAAGCGCAAAGAGAAGAGGCGCAAACCTGGAAAGCTCTTCAGGAGGAAATCGCTGAAGTCGGTGGGGAATTTCATGAACAGGATCTTAAAAACTTTAGGCACCCTGGCTCACTTCGGCGATGTCAGCCCGCCCGATGCCGAAGACGACGACGGGGGGTTCCGGGATGGTACACCTTGCACGTTGAGTGCCCACTCAGGAAACCTTAAAGATGACATTCAGGTTGGGGAGAGCGCCGTCAAGAAGAGCGTGACACTGTCTTCCCACGGATCTATAAAGGAAAGGCTTTCTTGGAGCTACGGGGATAAAACGCCGGGTGTACTGGGTTTGAAGAATCACGGCAACACCTGTTTCATGAACGCCGTCGTTCAGTGCCTGAGCAATACGGACCTGTTCGCCGAGTACCTCGGTTTGGAACAGTACAAATCGGATTTCTGCCGGAGGAAAGTTAATGGGATTGTGAAAAGTGAAGATCTGCCCCACGCGAGGGGTGAAGTCACCGAGCAGCTGGCGTCGTTGGTCAGGGCGCTGTGGACACTGGAATATACGCCACAGTTGTCCGTTGAGTTCAAGGTAGGTCACCTGTGGCTATAGGATATACATACCCGTCCCTTTTATGCGTGCGTGTGTGAGTGAGCGTAAACGGCAGATTTACTGCCCAGATGGGGAAAGGGGGGAAAGTCAAAACGAAAAGCTGGACCACAGACGCAAGATTTTAACGCGACCACATCGAGTGCAACTTTGCAGTTTGGCTTCAGTCAGCCCTGCCATGAGAGCGACATCTTGAATTAGTGGATCGGGGCTCGCAGTCGATTCGTAAAAGCGCCCAGCGACCCGTTGACAGTCAGCTGATTGGAGCACGGCTGTTTAAAGATAAACGCTGTTTTTTTTTAAAAAAGAAAGTGTTTTACGCAGGCACGTCTCCAGCAGGGCGCGATGCGATTATTCCTGTTGCAACAGGTCTCGGAGCCCGCGCCAGGCGCGGCGCTGATTACAGTTCAAACAGCGACCGCCGGTGCCTCTTCCTCGGTCCTGCTTATCTCGAAGCCCACCACCACTTCCGCGAGCGAGCGCAGGTAACCCGGTGGGAGGAGCTCGGGCTCGTCCACGCCGGCCTGGGGGAGCTGTCTCCTGGGCTTTCAATGCAAACGCGCGGCGGAGACCGGAGGTCTCGCCAGGCTGCGGTTTCCTTCGCGCAGGAGCGTCTTTCTGCGGCGTCCCTTAAGGGAACCGGACAGTTTGGGATGTTTGGAGGAAGGGAAGGCGCGACTATAAACACAGTTCGGGTCGACTGTGGCTGTCGGCTCGTTAAGTACTGATGGAGCAAGTCCTTAACTGCTGAGGCAGTCTCCTTCACTGCCCGGGATCGCGTCTTTAAACACAGAGCCCTAGTGCTTTAGTGCATTCATGTAAGACGACTGTACCGCCAACACGTGCGGTTAGGGTTTGATCAGCCTTGTTGGTCTGGCTATTTGAGAACGAGGGCGACGTGACCATAAACCGCCACCCCCCCATACACACACACACACAAATAATTACTCAATTGCATTCACTTAAAAGTTTCTTGAAGACTTTATTTAAGTTCTGATTGTAGGGACAATCAGTGTTCAAGTTCAGGAATCGGTGACTTGTGTCAGTGATTGGTGCTGTGTTGGCTCAAACTTCTGGACAAAGAAGGGGCTCCCACAACCATTTGATTTGAAACAAGGTGGGTCTGTGGAATGTCCATCTTCTTTGACCTCAAGAGACAAGTCCACCCAAGGTCAATCCTGGAATGTTTTTTTTAATCAGTGTCCCGCTGTAGCACTTCCTGGGCAGGTGCCATGAGGGATCACCAGTATCTGAACTGGGATCGGAATGCAGCTGCACTATTTTCTCCAGTTTGCCTTTGTTAGGGTTGGCATGCCGGCGAGGTGGTTGGGGCTGATGCTTGAGAGTTCCTGGGTCAATTCCAGATGTTGGAAACCTTTGTGTGGAGTTTGCATGTTCTCCCCTAATCAGCGGTGCTCAGATTTCCTCCCGTCTTCCAAATGACATGCTGGCTGGCTTAATCGGTGGCCCTGAATCATCGCTGTGTGCTTGTGTCCTGGTGGTGACGGTATCCCATCCAGAGTGCAGTTCGACCCTGTGCCCTGTTCTTGTGGGACAGGCTCCAGGCTGGCCTTTAAGAGTGATGACTGACTTCCTGACACTGGTTAGAGGGTGTTCATTGGTGATATAAGCACTTCACTTCTAATACAGTGTAAATGCATAATAATAAAACCAAATGCAGAATTCCACCTTGTTTGCAAGTACTGTAGCTCTGACAAATCCATTGCCTCCCATTTTTCAGCCCTTGCCCCTGACTGATTCTGATTTATCTTAATTTGCTCAAAGCTGTAGATACCTCTGTTCTGTTACGAGTCAATTATATGCCTAAACAAGTCTGTAATGTATTTTTTTTTTTGCTGTTTGCACAAAGGCAGAGCCGCGCAGTAGCTAAGCCAAGAGATGCTATCCTTGACAAGTCAGTGCTCTCCTTGTTGCCTGAGCTGTTCTCCCAATTAGCCCTCCAGGAATTTTCAGGGAGGAGGGAAGATGCACAGAACACGCCTGTGACCAGAATTATTTAGCAGCCCAGATGCAGATGCTTGCTTTCTCTACAAGTGCTTCTCACTTCTGTCATGGAGAGTTTGCTGCTTAACAGGAAACACTGGCCAGCGGATTTTGAGACCTTCGGGGGGGGAACACAAGGCAAATATATGCGCTCCTGGAAGAATGCTGTTTGACCACAGCCTTACAGTCCTCATCTGTCTTTTGCATGAAGAACTTGCCCTTTTCATGCAGCACAAGCAACACACAAAGTATAGCCAAAGCAAACTGCCAGCGAAAAGATCTCTGGGTAGACTCAGGTTGGCGTTGTCCTGGGACTGCAGAAGATTGTTCTCCGTGTTCGCCAGAAGGTGAACCTGAAGGGCTGTATTCTGAGTAACGTACAGTATGAGAGCACTAGACGAATGTATAGGAAGCATGATGGAGATGGCTCTGTTCGTCCTGCTCTGTGTGTGTTTGGGGGAGGATGTGGGGGATCGTGAGGAGTTCCCGAGCAGGGCTTCTTCTCCAGACGCTGTCCAGCCGGGAAAAGCACGCTTCCCGCCTCACAGACGGAGGAAGCCGATACAAGAAACGAACTACTGCCTTTTTACTGTACGGCAGTAGGATGCATGCCATTATTTTCCTTTTCAGTTAGCTTTGCCAAATACATAATTGGGTTTCAATTTGGAACATAGCTAGGAGGCTGTTTAGAGTTTAGGCAGAAGTGGTTGCAGTGAAGCCCTTGACTCTGAAAAGCATAGACTGTAAAGAACACTCATCTCGTACACATTGTGTTCCGAGAATAACGAGACATCAATGACCCCTGCGTCCTCCAACAGCATTATTCATGCTAAACCGGATGATTTAAGGGTAGGAATTTAACCAGGCTACGTCTCCATTAAATACGGCGGACCACATTGTAAGGAAGCTTAGGAATTTCAGTGAAAAGAGGATTTTTTCACTAAATGACTCTCTTTGGGGCAAAGTGGCCGGAAATTGTATTTACTAAGAGGATTTACTTCTATGAAACTGAAAAACGCAATGCCATTTCAATTGTCCTGAATAAATCACTTTTAATTACAACCTTTTTTTTTAGTTACAATGGAGCTGAATTCATTTTAGGAAACTGATATTGGAGAGTCTGATTTGCCCTAAAGTCAATCATACACAGCTGACAGCGATTTTAAGTACAGGACAGTCTATAAATAAAAACAGCCTGACGCGGTCTGACAATGCAGCGCAGCTACTGAACTTGGTGTGTACAGTACTGCATGTGCTAGGAATGACACATGCAGATAAACAGGTCTTAATTACTGCAAAAGGGCAGAAGCCAAGTGTAATTAGCTTCGATCGGCCAGCCAAGGTCTAAATAGATGTTAGTGTCACAAAACATTTCACACAGATAGCTGTAGAAATGGAATCAGTGCTAGGAACAGGTGCTAGCATTAATTAGACTTCAAACTGTCTTTCTAATATCATTGTATTGCCAGTTTGAGGAAGGTTCTGTCCCGGGCAGGGGACAGAGGGGTATCTGCAGGTCCTGGGGACAATAGGCACTTGAGACTCATTTCAGTGCTTCACTCTGAACCCTCCTGTAAGTTCTGCAGTGGTGTGGATTCCTAGCGTGGATTGGCCCTGCTCTGGTCCCAGGGACTGCTGGTGTCCTCTGGCATGACCTCCGATTCAAGTTAAGTGTTTCCACAACGTTTCCTCAACCTAGTTGACATGATACAATAAGACTTTCACAAGACCTTCAGAAGGAATGTACCAAGTGTGTCTCCTGGCCTGGGCTCATCCCACCTGCCACCTTCCACACACTCGGTATGTAGGATCCGCCTGTTCTCATGCTCGGAATCGTTTACTTCCCAGCTGCTTAATATTCGGGGTAGGTTCCTCTCAGTGCTGTGCTCACAGAATGCTAATCAGACCTTAAAATGAATGGTAGTGTCTTGATATGCGGCGTTGGACTGGGAGGAAGGTCGCTGGGTTTCTGCTTTCGGTAGATTGCTTCCCCAGCGTTCATTTTCGCTTCGCGTTTCGCTCCTGGGGGCCAAAAAATGGGATTTGTCCCATAGCTCTGGAAACAGAGGTAGCAGCAATAACAAAAAACCCATCTCGACGACATTTAGATCATAGGAACGAACTTCAACAAGCTGGTGCATTTCTGTATCTTTAAGTTTTCTAAATCCCCTCGGTGTAGTCAGTTTGTACTAGGTTAGGCAGAGCTTTGGCGCTGCCAGGTCTGAAATGGGTGTGATTTGTTGGGATTGTTGGTAGGCGGTTATCGCTGTAAATTGATGTCTTTGGAAAGAATAGCAAAATCCCCATGTGTGTGCTAACAGCCTGGCCCACAGTATGTGCAGCATCATTTTAAATCCTGTCCCTACCATAGTCATAAGCAAGACATTTGCCCTTCTATGATTGTAAGGGTTAGGCATTTAATAATAAGTAATGCAGACAGAGAATTACTAACAACTGTTTCGAATGTTTACTCTTGGCAAATGCCACATTCAGGCAAATTCACTTGAGTCACTTTGTGTCCTGAAGATGCCAGTTTGCGGTCGAGTCACCAGCTGTTTCCTTTGTATTGACGTGTGCTTCCCAAACCATTCCTCAGTGCCCATAGTGGCGAGACTCTCTAGTGTCCTCGGTTTAGAAGGGTGTCCATTATACCAGCAGCCTTGACATTTCTTAGTGGTGGACATTGGAATGAAATGTGGTAGATTGAGGTGTTTGCAGATTCTTTCATAATCATCTCCTAACTTGTGAAGGTCAGAAATCATTTGTCTGCAGTCCCTAAAGAGCTCTGTGTCATTCACCATGCTAACCTGCTACTGCTGTCTCCCTTGTGTCACCTCTTTTTATACCCTAGGGAAATGGGAAACCTTAAAAGGTATCTATATTGTGTCAGAGGCTTCCACTGCACTTCTGAAGAGCAGGGTGTTACTGTAAATCTTGATTTTGTTGGATTATATTTATTAATGAATACCTAGAGGTAC